TGAGCCATGCTCTTAAAGTTTGAAAGTCATTTATTCTAAGCTTTAGTAAAAAATAGTTTACATCTAGAAGTGCAACCTTTTAAGTTCATAAGGAACGCCATTTCTTTTAAATGAACAACATTTCAATCTATGTAGAAATCTAATTTTTTTCCTATGCTCACGTTTTTTTAAAGCTCTTATTTTTATATCTGGCATATAATGTGCACACGTAAAATTCAATCTTATTTTTTGTGTTAAAAGTGTGCATTGTACACCAGATTTTACGATACATATTACCCCAACAATGCCAATGTTCAAGATAACGCACCAAGTTGGTGACCCCAATTTTGTATATGTCGTATGCGCCAGATTGACAACCATGTGTTATTACATATAATTTCTCAAATATGGTTGCAATAATATGTAAGTACCAAAAATTAATACAGCTTGGGTACAAAAACTTCTGTTTGCAGGTATGTTGTACACAAGTGGAAAAACATAAGAAATCTTGGTACTTGTGTATTATCGCAACCAACTGGCGACATAATATGAAATGAAACACCTGTTTACCAATTCAGCACATACAACACACAAGAAATTGGACGGTACTTGCATATTATCGCCAATTCTAAATAACTTGCTGAGTTGGCCACCCCGATTTCCTATGTGTGGTACATGCTGAATTGGCAACCAAGGCCTTCATTTCATATAATGTCACCAATAGGTTGCAATAAGACGCAAGTACCAATCGGAGTTGCTAACTAGGCGAGTTATTATTAGATTTGGCATTTGTTGTGATAATACCTAAGTGCTGAAATCAGTTCAGTCTGACACACATGAAGACCCATAAATTTAAAATATAGTTTAAAAAAAACACGCTTTTATCGAACTAAAACCTCAATATAAGAATAAAATGATTAACAAGAAAATTAATGTCATTGTGGTAAAAGCGTGGGGGCCTTTGTACAACATTTTTACACTAACTCTGCGTTTTGGAATAGAACTAGTAAGAAATTATAACAATTAATATTGAGCACCCCACGCTTTTATACGCAGTTATTTTTCCAGTTTCAATTTCTTTATTTTTTTCTGCTTCTTTTCTTGGCATTTCTAAATACCTTGTGTTCTATTTCTTTAAATCCTGGCACTCATATTTTTCTAATTTGTTTTCTATAAAAAATTACTTACATTTTTGCTTCTTAATGCAATTCCTTTTCTGCCAGGAATAAGCCATTCTTTTAAATTATTTTCATTTTGAGTTCTTAGTGGGAGACTCATCATTGATTGAAAACTATCCGATGGCAAAATTTCATTTGCAGCGATTTCAAAACCACTTCTAAAAGATATTTAATGTGTAGTGTACTGATAACAAATTAGTTCCTGTATATATATGTATATATTGTTGTTCCAATGTGTGGTATTTTTTTAACTGTTGTTTTTATAAATGTGAAATTCAGAAAGACATGCCTTTTCATGTGTAATATTTATAAAATTGTATTTTTTAAACCTTTTATCTTGTTTCTAAATTATGAATGCTTTATTTTTAATTTGCATTAATTTCATTTCTGCTTGTTAGCATAAATCTTCATTTTTAATATTTCCACTCATAAATTATTTTAAATTTTGCACATAGTTCAGAATTTCTCTTTTTTTTATATGTATATATTTTATGGATAAAAATTAATCTATGAATTTCATACATTTTGCACTTTCTGCCAAAGACCATTGGTTTCACATTGTAGACTTAGTCGTCATGTTCTAAATACTCATACGGGCTAGCATAACACTACATGTGTTATGCTAAATTTTGTAGATAGCCGTTTAGAAAACTATAATTATGAACAACATTTGTAAAAATTTTACTCTAATGAGGAAAATTTCAAAATTCCTCTCAGAACCAGCTATTTATAAATTCTTCAGTAAATAATTTAGATGACTCACATGTAATTTATTTAAAACAACACTGTTTGAAAGGCATTTTCACTCACATTTCATAACTCAAAGACATGATTTGATAATAAAAAAAAATAATAAAACTGTTTATTTATGTACTTTTATACACTAGAACCAATACTTAAAATGATAATTCAATGTATATTATATTAAAACAGCTGTTCTGTACAAATAAGGATGGAGTTGACTATAATATAGATTAGATAGTGTTTATAAAAAAAATCAATAAAAAAAATAACTTATTGAAGAACACATGTTTCAAAAATCTCACTTATATTCTTGTTTATTTTTAATGTGTGTATGTATATGTACAATTTCTAGAATAAATATTTCAACAATATGATTTTGGTTTGTTTTATTTTTCTTGTTAACAGTGAATAATTGAAAAAAGGTATTGAAGATAAAATGCTGTACCCCCAGTAAAATGGCTAAATTATGATTCTATTGGTCCTTATGATGTTATTTTTTCTTCTAAATGGGTGCTGAAAACTTCTATAAAAACTCTTTCCAGTTGGTTAAAAACTAAATGTTTTGTTAATGCAAAAATGTACTGTTTTAGTTGTTTTTAAATTCTTCTAAGGACTGAAATTTTTAAGTATTTTAATTTTAAAAAACATTAACTTAAAAACTATAATATTTGTTTTCTTTGGTGAAAGGAGAGTGTAAAATCAGTTGATTTAAAAAAAAAAAACGAGCTTAATTTGTAATACAGCAATGTATTTTCTTTATTTCCATCTGGATGGATGCGTTTCTATTTAAACAAAACAATTGATATAAAGAGTACTTACACACTTAGGCCTAACGAGTGTTAGTTTAGTCAAAAGGTTTTTTCTTCAGGTTACATAATATGTAAAAAAGCTATTTCTTTCTGGCATTGTTTTGAAATTTTTACTTTGAAAAATCTGTTATTTATCATTATGTTCCTAGATATTTCTAATAACTTATTATTGAAGGGCTGAATTTTTTTTAAATAAAAGTTAATTTTCTGCTTGTATATGAATTTAAGGAAACAATATAATGCTTCTAGAGAGAGAGAGAAACATAAATATAAATAATGAACCAAATTGCTTCTGGAACTAGTTCAAAATGCATACACATTTGTTTAACTATTACATTGAATTTATTTTTGCAGTTTTCAAAGATTTATATTTGTGGTATAAGTTCGAAGACATGCAGTTTGTGATCAAATGATAGTTGCATTTTTTTCTCGAAAAGTAATATTTTTGTTGATACTTGCGTATTGTCGCCACCGTATTGGCGACATTATATAAAACGAAGTACATGGTTGCTAATTCAGCGCGTAGGACACATGCGAAATCATTACTGCCAATTTGGCGAGTTATCTTTAACTTAGGCACTTTCGCGATAATACGTGAGTACCTTTTTGTTACACACAATAAATGTAAAATGAATTTTGATTTCGAAGTCAAGTGTAAAAATTTCATGAAATGAAAATAAAATAATACGTAAGATGAAGAAAGTGAAAATTTACAACTCAGGTATCACATTTTTAAATCCCTTAAGATTTGGGTTAATAAATATTTTTCTGCTAAAAATTTATATTAGATACAACAGTATCGAAAATAAATGCTATACAAACTCATTTTATTGTTTTAAACTCATATTTGATACATTAACATATTCAAATATGAGTGCATTATATACTCATTTTGATCTTTCGTTCTCAAAAATTTGATCCCGTAACAGGTTCAAAAATGAGAATGTACTTGTTGCTCAATATGAGAATATGCGATTCTCAAATTTGAGTACGCGTGCATCGGAGCTATTTTGAGAATGTGAAGTACTCAAAAGTGTGTGAGTTGTTTGCTCTCAGTTTTGAAAATCGTTTCTCGCAGTGTAGTAGTGTAAGGGTTGACTTTAAGTCACAACAATTTTATAGTTAAAAAAGTATCCAATAAATCGCTTTTAAATAAATTTAATTGTAAAAATAATTAAGTGAATTGAGAAAAAAAAACTGATTGCGTGACTCGAACCTTGGCCGGTCAGGTAGTAAGCAGGTACGCTATCATCTATGCCACTGCGTTTCTACCGTTCATGAAAATTTAATTGCATATACGCTAAGCATGAATTTCGAAGGCTTTTTTCTTCAAATTGACTGGCCATTCGGCGCTAATACATTGAAAGCTGTACACCCTAAAGAAGTACTACTATTACACTAAGTCTCGTCCCCAAATGAATTTCCTTAGTCGTGTTCTCCCCTTGTTAATCCAAAAACTAACTTGAGCAGTAAACATTTTTTTTTTTTTATCTTAGTAATGAAAGTTTTTTGTTTATTTCTGTACAGTAATATTTAGAAAGGATGCATTTCTGGACCAGGAAATATGAACTAGGGTGATTTATCTAATGTGTGATTCCTGTTAACGATTCAAAATCTCGGATATCATTAAGATTTTAAACTCATTGAATTTTCCCCGATGTGGATCTGTGAGCATTTTTTTCCTAAATAAAATTAATGTTTAACCTATAAAAATAACACATTAAGAAATAAAACAATCGTCACAGCACATGCATGATCTCTTTAATCCTTCATTAGAATAGTGTTCTGGAGCAGATACATAATTTCATAACTACATATAAAATACTGGAACTTGAGCATGGTTTAAAATTACGAAGTTCGTTGCCCATAGCCCTCGTTGCTTCAGAGTGCGACATAATTCAAATCAAATCATGATACTTGAATCCTTCAGTAGAGTCAACCACCTCATGGCGCTCACAATAGACAGATTTCCGAAGTATCAACATGAATTTAAGTAGATTTATATTTAACAAGTAATAGAAAAAAATTAAGTCAATTCCTACTTAGGTCGACAAAGAAAAATTTTATTTTAGTTACTTTTTATTAAATAGTTACAATTAATATAAATATGCATATACATATGACAGAATCACAAGATTAAGTGACAAAATAAAAAGCGATTTTCTTTTCAATTTTCCATTCTATATATCGTGCAGGACTATTTTTTTGTAACTATTTATTCATTCATCAAATTTAATTATTTTAATAAAATAGTATAGTAAAGAAGAAATCACATTCTCAAAAATTCAGCCATCCCAAGTGGGATTCAAACCCATGACCTTTGGATTAGAAGTCCAATTCGCTATTCATTGCGCTACAGGGACACAACGACCGATTTTCCTTTCTATATATGCTGTTGGACTATTATTTTTGTTTACTATTTATTCATTTTTAATTTAATTAATGAATTAATATTTGAAAAAACTGTATTAACATCAAGTGGCATCCACTACAAGTTTAAAAAATATAGTTGCACTTGAATGGAAGAATAGAAAGTAATTAATGATTGAAAATTTGAACAAGATATATATAGGGATAGAGTAAACTAATAGTAGGAAATGATAAAACATTTTTAGAAATTAATAAACTTTCTATTAAAACATCAGTAATTCTTTATTACCAACCACTTACAATAATCATTTTTTTTAAAAAACTGCCATACAGGAAAAACATTACAAATGAAAAATTTACAGAGCATGAAACTAAGAATAGTGATCAGAAAAACCGAAGCAAAAAAAATTCTGCGAAGATGCAAGAAATGAAGAACGGAATAAAACTCATCTTTTTGTATTCATGAAATCTTAATTCTTTAACTTTAAAAAAGTTTATGAAAAATCCTCTCAAATCATTTAATCTGTAAAACAGTATAATCCTTTTTGAAATGCACGAATTCCTCCTTCCTTTAAAGGAAAAAAAATCATTTCCCACTTTTGATAAAATTTAATAGTATAAAATGAAAAGTATTATTCTCAATACAACAACAAAAATAAATTATAGTTAAAAAACAAAAAATACGCTTTTATGGTTAATCGAACTATAAAGTAAAAAAAAATAATTCCTAATACAAGAATAAAATGATTAAGGAGAAAATTAATGTCATTGGGGTAAAAGCGTGGGGTGCTTGCTCTATGTCAATTGTTATAATTTCTTACTAGTTCTATTCCGAAATGCTGAGTAAGTGTAAAAATGTAGTACAAAGCACCCCACGCTTTTACCCCAATGACATTCATTTTCTCTTTAATCATTTTATTCTTATATAAAGAATTCTTTTTTTACTTTTTAGTTCGATTTACAATAAAAACGTGTCTTTTTAGTTTTTTAAACTATCATATGTTCATTGATGAATTCATCTTCAATGCGTCATTTTTTTGAATCTGAAATACCCATTGGCATCCTATCAGTGCGTCGACGCGGCCTGGTTTGCAAAATGTAGGATTAGCCAAGTGAAGGAAATCAGGAAGAGCTAACTTTCATATATTTCATGTGAAAGAAGATGTAAAGTCAATGATATTTTTCATTCAAAAGAGCTCTCTTTGAAACTTACATTAATCCGGTGTATGTCACCTCTGAATCAATTCTCAGCTGCTTTCGTAAAATGAAGGATGTTTCATTTCACAGATCCGACAAAAGAATTTGGAAAAACAGACTTCATGTCTGAGTTTAGCAGTTAAAAAATATTTTTTTTCACATGCACGAGTCTTTATTTTTTTTTTCTAAATTTCCATTTTTAGAAAAACTAGAAAATTATTTATATTATGGTAAGAAATTGCGAAATCACATTTTCTTGCTTTTAAGGTTGTAACTTAATCTTTTAGCCGCCAAATCTGGAGTGAGTGAGTGAGAGAATATTAACGTCGCACTGATTAGCAACACGGGGGCTTTTGGCGACGGTCCGCGTCATTTTGAACCATGGTCAAGTGACGCAGACGACACCTGAGCTGGCACCCCCCTCTCCTAACTACCACACCACACCAACGGGAGGACGTTTGAGCTCTCGACAGATTTAACGTGCATCGCTCCCCTACACGGCGGATCTTTAGTGGTACTAGGATCGAACTCATGACACGCTAGCCATGATCCGATGTCTAGACCACTCGGCCACCGCGGCCCGCCAAATCTGGAAACGGGATCTAGAATCAGTCGCCAAATCTGGAAATAGCATATGGAATTAGTCGCCAAATCTAGAAATAGCATATGGAATTAGTCGCAAAATCTGGAAATGTTTATTCCTGATCAGGACAATCAAACAAAATTATGAAATTATTGTATTGTCATCGGTCCTTGACAAGTGTACAAAATTTCGAATGAATCTGACCTTTTAAAGCGGGTAAAAATCAAGTTCAAAGATTCCGTTACATACAAGTGAAGCTTATAAAAGAGTGTTAATAAAAATAAAATAAATAAAGTAAAAAAAAAAACCTTTTCTTAAATCTCTAATAACACAAATATCACAGACGACTTATATTACAATCATGTCCATAAATTAAGGATAATTCAGAATTACACAGAAATTGAACTTTAAAATAAAAATTTCACATGTAGAATTATCACACACATCTTGAAGAATAATATGCAAATTACAGGAAACCCCCAGATGCCGCGGATAGTACGTCACAATGACGAGAGTGTAAGAGAGGGGTATATAAGGAGTGGTGGCAAAGAAGTAAAATTGTTCACAAGCGCTTTAAAAGCCTTTCAGTGCAATAACCGCGTAGTTATGGCACAAAGAAAGCATTTGGATGATTTTTTATGTGGTAGAATTATCGGACGACTGGAATGTGGACGTACCCAGCTGGAAGTATCCGAGGAACTTGGAATTGCCCAGAGTGTCATCTCCAGGCTTTGGCAACGATTCCAAGAGGATGGTAATGTGAGTAGATGTTACAGCATAGGTCACCCCCGAATTACAACGCCGAATGAGGACCGGTATTTGGCAGTTACTGCCAAAAGAAACAGACGGAGCACAGCATCAGACCTATCTCGTCAGCTCTCTTCGGCTACCGGTACTACAGTTTCAAGGCAGACCGTGTACAGACGCTTAGGACACATTGGTCTATATGCTCGTAGGCCTGTCAGATGTGTTCCCCTTACCGCAACTTACTGTCACCTGCGATTAAGAGTAGAGAGCATGCATTGTGGACACCGCAACAGTGGTTTTGTGTGAAGTTTTCCGACGAGTCCAGGTTTAGTTTGCAGTCTGATTCTGTCCGGACTTTCATATGGAGAGCGCCAGGTACCCGTTACCACCAAGAGAACACCATTAAAAGACACCGTTACGGTGGTGCAGGATGGCTCGTTTGGGGAGGAATTATTCTTGGTTCCAGAACTGACCTGCATGTCCAGAGTGTAACGATGACAGGTCACATCTATCGGGATGTCATTCTGGAACAACATGTACGTTTGTTTCGGGGCGCCAAGGGTGCTGAATTTCTGTTTATGGATGACAACGCCCGTCCTCACCGTGCAAACATTGTAGACGAATGCCTTCAATCGGAGGATATCACCCGTATGGATTGGCCAGCATACTCACCGGACTTGAATCCAATAGAGCATGTGTGGGATATGCTTGGCCGACGAATTGCAGCCCGTCAACCCCTTCCCACTTGTCTACCGGAACTTCGGAGGGCATTGCTTGATTGAGTGGTGTAATATTCCCCAAGATCAGATTGATAATTTGATACTCAGCATGCGTAGGCGTTGTAAGGCCTGTATTGAATCGTCCGGGAGACATACTCCGTATTAACCATCATACTAACCATGTTATACTGTTTTTTGTAAATGGGTTCTTTTTTGAAATTTACTCCAGGGAGTAAAAATAGCAATTTTTATTAATTATGTCAAACATATAGCATCTTTTTTGCTCTTTACCTCTTGACTTTACAAATAAGTCAAATTTGTTTTGCTTCCGTCTCTTTCTTTGCCTGAACTTCATTATCCTTAATTTATGGACATGAGTGTATATAACACACGATTGTATCCACATAAAATTTGTACAAAGAAAAATAAAATGTTATGAAATTCGGGCTACTAAAAAAAAAAATTAAGAGCGACAAATGTAAAAGAACTTGGAACTAAACGCAGAACACATTTTTAGACAGAAATGTGAAATTTAGAAATTCTTAAATTTCATGAAAACTTTCAAAATTGTGTATATATAGTTCATTGATGTTTTCATATGATATATTTGTAATGATTTTAATTCCAAAAAATGCTATAAGTAATTTTTCCTTTAAACTTTTTTCCTCTAAGTGAAAATTTATTTAGCATTACGGTATAGGAAACTTAAAATGGAGAACACATTTTACACCAGAAAAAAATGCGTCAATACAGGTAAAAATAATTATAAAAAAAACATGCTTCTCTTTTCCACATGGGGTAATTAAGTCAGAATATATTAATGTTCTATCCTTTATTTACTTAAAAAATGTTCGAATATTGGATCCTATTCTTTAGAACAGTGGTTCCCAACCCCCGTGCTGGTACAGATTCTTGGATCAAATGATACCGGGCTGCACAAAGAACATCAAATAATTTCCATTTTATTTACTGTGGTGTATTTCTCACGGGTTTATGCGACTTTCCATGGAAATCATTTTATATTCCATGTTAAATTATAAAGTGATTTAACATGGAATATAAAGTGATTCCCACCAAAAAATATAAATTCATTTTTGGTATAACTGTAATTCTGAAGGCATGTTTAAATACAATTAAATTAAAATTATAAAATTCAAAACCAATCCAAAATATAAACAATCAACATCACCAGCGAGGGCCGCGGTAAAATTATCAAACTTTGACCTGTCCGCGGCGATAAATAGGTTGGACAGCACTGTATTAGAGAGTGAGAGTTAGATTAACGTCACTCTGTAAAGCAACACGAGGGCTATTGGCGATGGACCTCGTAAATTTCAGCTACGGTCAAGTGAAGAGGACGACACCTGAGCTAGCACCCCCTCTCCTAACTACCACACTAGGGTTTGCAATCCCGTGTCATATTTTTAATCCCGGGATTTCGGGATCACATTATCCAAATCACGGGATTAGGATTGAGCTATTTAATAAAAATACTTACATATTAGCATAGTTGAAATTGCATAATAAAATTGAAAATATAATTAAAAATTGATTTAATATTTTAATGAAATGAAAAAATTAAATCATCATAAAAAAACAAATAAAAATATTACATAAAAAAAGCATTTATTTATTTCTTGTGTTTTTGTAAATAAGCTTATAGTACGAGAGCTAGCAACGTCAGAAAAACAAGAATTTTAGAAAAGCTGATTCTTTAATATATCTTTCTCTGCGTCCTTCTGAACAG